TTTTGCAAATACTTGGAATAGAAAAGATGATTAGTCCAGAGGGAGGTGGCTCATACCTATAATCCCAGCACTGTGGGAGGCCGAGGTGAGAGGATTGCCTGAACCTGTGGGTTCGAGACCAGCCTGAGCAACATGGCGAGACCTCATCTCTACAATAAATCAAAAAATTAGCTGGGCATGGTAGCACATGCCCATAGTTCCAGCTTCTTGGAAGGCTGAGGTGGAAGGATCTCCTGAGTCCAGCAGGTCAAGGCTGTGGTGGCTGGGAGCGTGCCACTGCCCTTCAACCTGGGTGACAGAGTGAGACGCCAACTCAAAAAAAAAAAGAAAAGCTAGTTAGTACAAAACAAGCTGAGGAAGAAGCTGTAAAACAATTCTCAATAGCTACCTCTGAGAATATTAAGAGGATCTGATAGAACTAGGCCATTCTTTATTTTAAGATGATTCCATTAAATAATCCCATTTTGGCATGACCCTTTCTCTACCCTCGGGCCTTTGCTGTGAGACCTCCCTAGGTGGTGTCTCTTCTGTCTTTCCATAGCACCAGTCCTTGCAGTGTGTGTGCCTGCTTTATTCTTGTTCTTTCTTTGCTCCTACAATTCTTCATGTGCCTCTATTTATTGCCATTGTTCTGTGGTTATTTTTAATGCCTGCAGTGTGATATAATTGTGCACTACCTCTGCCTCTAAAAATCCAGTTTGTAGTCTTATTCTGCAGTTTTGTCAGTTCTGCACCCTGGGATAAGTCACTTAGCCTCTCTGAAGCTCTTTCTGTACAATGAGAGGAGTGGACTATATATGCCTGCAGGTCCTCCTTTCCTGCCATTGAGGCACAGGTAGCCTGCCAGCAGGTTTGTTTAATCTGTTCAGCAGTTTTAAAGCATTAATTTTTAGATTCCTGCCTTTCACTCAGCAGTTTTATTTTAGGAATTTACTTATTAGGAAATGACCACACAAATACACAAAGATGTGCCTTCAAAGATATACAAATATGCCCATTAAACCATTCCCCATAATATTAGGAAAAGCAACTTTTGATATTGTGCTTTATAGTAAGAAATATGCTCGAGACCAGCCTAGGCAGCATAGCAAGACCTCATCTCTACAAAAAAAATCAGTCTGGTGTGGTGGCGCACCAGTAGTCCCAGCTACTTGGGAGACTGAGGCAGAAGGATCACCTGAGCCCAGGAGGTCAAGACTGTGGTGAGCCGTGATTCTGCCACTGCACTCCAGCCTGGGCAACAGAGTGAGACCCCAAATCAGAAAAAAAAAAGGAATATGTATATTTTGGTGTTTGTTCCTTGCACAGATCTCCTATAACCCTTAAAATTTCCTGAGCAATAGGGGCTAAGAGAATCTTTTACTCTAAAATTTGGTCTTGACTGATTCCTGACATTGAGCTCCTGATCCCTTAGAATTTTCTGCCTGATGGGAGCATCTTTGGTTCTAATGAGGTGACTCTTAGTAGCCCCTTTACGGGAGCTGGTCACCAGAAAGACCAAACCGTGATTAGAAGCTTGCAGGTTTCATCTCCATCCTCCAAAGGGGGAGAGGGGCTGGAAATTGAGCTACTAATTGATCGTGCCTACCAGATGAATTTCAGCCTTCCTCGGAATCCCTGAACTCTGACTCAGTTTCCTGGGGGGTGACTGTAGCCTTCCCCACCTCCCCTCAGCTGAGCCTAGAATAGAGAGGCTAGGTGCGTCCCCTGTGGGAGAGGCATTGAATAAAGTGAGGATCCTTGCCTGAACCATCCTAGCTCACATTTACTTGGCAAAAAATGAAAAGTTTTTTTTTTTTTTTTTTTTGAGTTGGAGTCTCACTCTGTCACCCAGACTGGAGTGCAGTGGCCACTCCCGGCCACCGCAGCCTCGACCTGCTGGACTCCGGCGATCCTTCCGCCTCAGCCTTCCAAGTAGCAGGAACTACAGGCGCGTGCTACCACACCCGGCTAATTTTTTTAATTTATTGTAGAGATGAGGTCTCGCCTGCCCAGGTGGGTTTCGAACTCGGGGGCTCAGGCAATTCACTCACCTCAGCCTCCCAAAGGCTTGGGATTACAGGCTGAGCCTTTGAGCCTGGCTAGATTTTTTTTTTAAATCTCTGAACTACTGGGTTTGAGAGCTTCCAGATTGCTGAGCACACCTGGAGGGCATGGAAGCCCCTCCCCCTGTCCCTGTGTCCTGCCTGTGCCATTCTTCCAGATTATCTGGCTTGCTGTCTGTAGCCTTTGTAAATGGGGAAGTATAAGGTTGTTTTCCTGAGTTCTGTGAGCAGGTCTAGCAAATGAGTTGAACCTAAGGAAGGTGTCACAAGAATCTTGATTTATAGCCAGTTGGTCAGAAGCACTGGTCAAAAGCACAGGTCACAGCTTGGGACTTGTGATAGGCATCTGAAGTGGGAGCAGTCTCAAGGGATTGAGCCCCTATCCTGTGGGAGCTGACACTATCTCCAGGTGGATAATGTCAGAGTTTAAATTACAGAACAGTCACTTGATGTCTGCTGAAAGATTTCTAGATATATGGGGGGAAACCCCCACATGTCTGGTGTTAGAAGTGAAGTTGTTTTTTGTGTTTTTTTTGAGTTGGAGTACTAACCCGTCACCCAGACTGGAGTACAGTGGCATGCTCCTGGCCACTGCAGCCTTGACCTGCTGGGCTCCGGTGATCCTTCCGCCTCAGCCTTCCAAGTAGCTGGAACTACAGGCATGCACCACCACACCTGGCTAATTTTTTGATTTATTGTAGAGATGAGGTCTCGCCAAGTTGCCCAGGCGGGTCTCAAACCCACGGGCTCAGGCAATCCACTCACCTCAGCCTCCCAAAGCGCGGTATTACAGGCTGAGCTACCGAGTCTGGCTGAACCTAGGAGTTCAAGACCAGCCTGGGCAACATGGCAAAACTCTATCTCTATTTATTATTATTATTATTATTATTATTATTATTATTATTATTATTATTATTTTGAGTTGGATTCTCATTCTGTTGCCCAGACTGGAGTGCAGTGACACGTTCACAGCCCCAGCAGCCTCAGCCTGCTGGGCTCAGGCGATCTGCCTCGGCCTTCCAAGTAACTGGAACTACAGACACATGCCACCATGTCTGGCTCATTATTTATTTATTGTAGAGACAAGGTCTCATCAAGTTGCCCAGGCTGGTCTGGAACCTGTGGGCTCAGGCAGTCCTTATACCTCGGCCTCCAAAGTACTGGGATATTAGGTGTGAGCCACCACGCCTGGCTTATTTATTTATTTATTTATTTATTGAAAAGGGAGGAAGTATTGTGGAAAATATGAGAGTAGGAAAATAGTTTGGTTTTTCCTGTCTCTTACACAGCTTCAACATGCAACCTTAGTGAATGGGCCAAAGGGATTGATGGCCCAGTTTCAGTGAGTGCCATCCATGTGACATGCTCTGGTCTGGTGTTGGGGATACATCAGTGGACTCCACTGAGATCCCTGCAGGCAGTCAAGAAACAAGTGACAGAAATCGGAGAGTGGGTGGTCTTTTAGAAGACAATAAGCTCTGCGGACACAGGGGATGTGAGCAGATGGGGAGCATACTTTAAATACGGTGTCCAGGGAGGGTAGCCTCACTGAGAAGGGCTGGTCATTAGTGAAGGAGTCAGCTACGCAGACGCCCAGGAGATGCACGCTCCAGGCAGAAGGAACGGTGCCCAGGCCCTGAGGCAGGAGCATGCCAGTGTGTTCAGAGCTGAGTGAGGATACTGGGGGCTGGGCAGACTGAGTGGGAGAGGAAGGGGGGCAGGGGGACCCGGGCCCAAACTACAGGGATATTTGTAGTCTTTGTGGGGATTGTGCATCCTATTCCGCGGGAGACAGGTTATGTCTTTGCAGGATGTAGCAGAGGCATGACGTGATCCATTTCTGTGCTTTAGAAGGAATAGTCTGACTGCTATTTAAGAACAGACTGTCGGGACAAGGAGGAACAGGGAGACTATTTAGATTACTTGCAGCAACACAGGCAAGAGAGAGACAAGGATGACTCAGAGGGGAGGAGAATGAAAGTGTTGAAAACAGCTCAATTCCAGACATATTCTAGAACCTGCAGGCCTTGCCGACCGAGTGGATGTGGGGTGCAAGAAAATCTTCAGGTTTTCAGCCTGAGTAACTAGAAGGATGGAGCCACCCTCCACTGAAATGGCAGAGGCGTGGGTGGGCAGGTCTTGGAGGAGAGATCAGAGTTCATTTTGGAAGTGTTGAGCTTGAGAAGTCTGTTAGATAGCCAACAGAAATTATGCCTTTACTGGCTGTTAACATGGAATGTGTCGCCAGTGTTTAGCAGAGTAACTGGCCCTGCAGATATATTGGTGGGATGAAAGAAAGAAGTGATTCAAGTATTAAGGGAAACAAGTATTGGATGATCCCATTGTATTTTATGTGTACGTGTATGCACATACACACATTTGTGTAAGAAAAGGAACAAACAAATAGATATGAAAATATTAACAGTGACCTTATAGGATATGGGATTGTGAGTGATTTTAATTTATTTCTCTTTTTTGAGAATTGGCATTTCCTAGTCTCTCTATAAAGTGATTTATATAAAAGGGAGACATACTCCCAAGGGTAAGAAGAATGACTTTCTTCTCTTGATAAGTTACAGGGTTTTTTCAATTATACTGGTTTGTTTGACTCTCAAGGTGTTGGTAGGTTTTTGTTTCTTTACAAATAGGAATACTGTGCACAGGCTGCTCTTTTTGCTTTTGAAGTATTTCCTCATCATCTACTCCCAAAATTAGAAATGATACTCTAAAAGCTGTAAAGATTTGTGACTCTTCTTAAATAATGCCAGATTACTCTGCAGAAAAACTGAACCAATCTAGAATTCTGGCAGTAAAAGAATGCCAGACAGTCCATTTGAAAGCTGTCTCCCCTACTAGATCAGGATTTCAATTTCACACTGAGAAGTTACTCATCAGCATGTCTCCAGCCACCAGGGGGACATCAAAAGGCTTCACATGGATCTTCATACTTTTCAGGTGTAGGAATCGGTGTGGTCCATGCTGGGTATGAGAGGCGCCTGGCCCATCACCTGGGAGCACACAGCACACCCTCTATCCTAGGCATCATCAATGGGAAGGTCTCCTTCTTCCACAATGCGGTGGTCCGCGAGAACCTACGACAGTTTGTAGAAAGCCTCCTTCCAGGGAACTTGGTGGAGAAAGTAAGTAACTACCAAGGAAGACATTACTGACAAGTAGTTGAAGAGGTGCCCAGGACTGCCAGTTGCCCAGAACTTCCTCTGTGGTCGGTCCTTTCAGACCTGAATTTCATTTTGAGCAGGGCAAGACACATATTATTAATTACTTACTCAGACTAAGTCATTTAAACGAAGTCTGTAGGAGACTGAACATCAAAACAGATGAAGTACAGGGACTGAAAGAATTCCTGTTAATAATCATCTTGCATCTGAGCCTAGAATGACAATGGCTATTTTCTTAAAAAACAAAAAAATTAGATCACATGGTTAAATGAAGGATTTCTTTCCAGTTCATTAATTTGTTATACATGTAGAGGTATTTGTCTTATGAAAATATTCAAATTACATTATATTTGGCTATATATTTAATGATCGTATCTATAGAAGACACCAGGCTCCATGAAATCAAATATTATTTTTGAAACTTATAGTGACACAGCAGTGTGAATGAATTTCACAAAGAAAAGATTGAACTGAAGAAACCAGACACAGAGTTCATGCTAGTGTATGATTTTTTTGTTAAAGCATCCAATTTTTTTTTCTAGTATCTTAAGAGTAGGGAGAGTAACTAGAACAGGATCTCATTTTGCTTTAAATAATTGATTCTTTTAACAAGAGTTAAAATAAAACAGGGTTAAACATAGAAAGGGAGCGTGAACAGAGAACAATTCCCATCATATTTCTACATTCATTCTTCATAAACTGTCCTGCCAGGATCATTATCCAAAGAAGAAATATTTGTTGGAATTAGCTTAAAAGGTTAGAGAATAATGTAGGCTCCTACAATATTGATAAGTAACTGGGCATGGTGTCTCATGCCTGTAACCCCAGCACTTTGGGAAGCAGAGTGAGAGGATTACCTGAGGCCACGAGTTCGAGGCCACAGGTTCAAGGTCAGCCTGGGCAACAATGGTGAGACTTCGTCTCTACAAAAAATCAAAAATTAGCTGAGCGTGGTGGTGCACACCTGTGGTTCCAACTACTTGGAAGCCTGAAGCAGAAGGATTGCCTGAGCCCAGCAGGTCGAGACTGCTGTGGCCGTGAGTGTGCTACTGTACTCCAACCTGGGCGATAGAGTGAGACCCCAACTCAAAAAATAAATAAACAAAAATTAAAGGAATAAAGAATAGAATCTCTGTCACCCTGGCTGAGTATAGTGGCATGCTCATGGCCACCACAACCTTGACCTGCTGAACTCAGGCAGTTCTTCCACCTCAGCCTTCCAAGTAGCTGGAACCACAGGCGTGCACTATCACGTCTGGCTAATTTTTGATTTATTGTAGAGATGAGATCTCCCCAAGTTGCCCAGGCTGGTCTCAGGTAATCCTCTTGCCTCTGCCCCACAAAGTGCTGGGATTACAGGTGTGAACCACCACACCCAGCTTATTCTTTTAATAGTTTTAGTCAAATGAAGACAACAAGATAAGTTGTCTGCATTTTTTTATTTTTTTGCACACAGTCTTTTACCCATGCTTGATTTGTTTACTTATCTCCTGACTGGAGTGTAATACAGTTAGGAATTGACTATTGAAACTGATATTCTATTTTCAATTTAAGGTTACAAATAAAAATTATGTGAGATTCCTCTCTGGATGGCAGCAAGAGAATAAACCACATATCCTTCTGTTTGACCAAATGTTTGTTGTGCCACTGCTGTACAAGGTACTTTCTATGCTGGTGTGACGTTTTCATTTTGGGGGGGTGAAAAGTCATCCCCAAGTTGGGACCTGTAGCCTGTTTGTCTTTTTTGTAAGTGGTAGTTTATTCCATGAGAAATGTTTGAAGACCAGAAATGTTATTTGGCCGCCATTCATTGAGCACCTACTGGTGCCAGTTGCTATGCTAGTGCTTTCTTTCATGCACATATCAATCTTCAAAAGAAGCCAGTGATGGCGATATTACCCCCAGTTCATAGACCAAGATAGAGGCTTAGAGTGGTCATATAACCTCCCCAAGGTCCCACGCCAGCCTGGTGAGCGTGATTCCCGTTGAAGCCTTCCTGAACTCCAAACCGCCCTCTTAGTGCTGCCCTCTGCTACACTCACAGCACATCTTTCATCCTCACTGTGACATGCAATGAGAGGGAAGGTGTCCTAGCCAGTGGCATGGTCCCTGCCATCTTACCTCATTGGGATACAGGTAATTCCCAATGCACTATATCTCCCACCCAGTACAGATCTCGATGACTGTTTTGTTTTATCTATGAAAAAATAATTATTTTTATCTCTGAAAAAATAATGTTTGCCTTGTTTGTATAGTTTCTGCTCGTGGAACACCCTAGAAGTTCCAGGAGTGCACAGGTGTATGGAAGCCCTAGTGGGGCTGAGCAAGCAGGCTCTTCCCCACCATTGCTGGAAGTCCACCTTTCCATGATGTGGAAGTTAGATACTGTGCTACCAGTTTTACTCTCTTTCTCTCTGTTGTGCTCCAACAGTTGGTTGCCTTTGCACACAAAGATTATTTATCATTTGGCTATGTATATATGGGCCTGCGAGGAGCGGAGGAGATCACCAGGCAGTACAACATCAACATCTATGCCCCCACCCTCTTGGCCTTCAAAGAAAACACAAACAAGCCTGCCGATGTTATCCAGGTATGCCAATTGCCTTGTTTTAAGTTTCCTTCACATTTTATCTCAAGCCTTCATGTAAATGAAAAATTGAACAAAGCAGCTGAGGGGAAAAAGAAACTAGTCTTATGTCTCTTCTTTCAGATGTACAAATTTTTTAAATGAACTTGTTTTTTCACTGACTTTACCTCTAAAGTGCTCTTGTTGGAAAGCCAACAATCTTTTTTCCTAAATAAATTATAAAATGAATTTAAAAGTTAAATGTCCTTGGGTGGCTGAGGTGAGTGGATTGCCTGAGACTGCAGGTTCAAGACCCTCCTGGGCAACTTGGCAAGACCTCATCTCTACAAAAAATCAGAAATTAGCCGGGTGTGGTAGCACGTGCCTGTAGTTTCAGCTACTTGGAAGGCTGAGGCGAAAAGATCACCGGAGCCCAGCAGGTCAAGGCTGCGATGGCCGGGAGTGGCCACTGCGCTCCAGTCTGGGCGACAGAGTGAGACTCCAACTCAAAAGAAAAAAAAAAAAAGATAAATGTAACACAGGCCAGGTACAGTAACTCACACGTATAATCCCAGCATTTTGGAAGACTGAGACAGGAGGATAACCTGAGTCCAAGAGTTTGAGACCAGCCTGTGCAACAGAACAAGACCTTGTCTCTACATAGAAATTTAAAAGTTAGCTGGGTGTGGTGGCTCATGTCCTAGCTACTCAGGAGGCTTAGGCAGGAGGATCATTTGAGTGCAGGAGCAATGATTACGCCACTGCACTCCAGCCTAGGTGACAGAGCAAAGACCCTGTCTCTTAAAAAAAAGAATGTGAGCCAGGCTCAGTGGCTCACCCTGTAATCCCCTGCCTTTGGGAAGCTGAGGTGGGTGGATTGCCGGAGCCCATGGGTTCGCGACCCGCCTGGGCAGCGAGACCTCATCTCTACAATAAATCAAAAAATCAGCCAGGCGTGGTAGCGCATGCCTGTAATTCCAGCTGCTTGGAAGGCTGAGGCGGAAAGATCACCGGAGCCCAGCAAGTTGAGACTCCGGTGGCCGAGAGCGGCCATTGCACTCCAGTCTGGGCGACAGAGTGAGACTCCAACTCAAAAAAATAAAAAATAAAGAAAATAAAAACTGAAAAGTTAACATTTTTCTACCCATCAAATTGTCAAAGATTTTCAAAGTTAAAATACTCAGTACTGTTGCAAATGCACTCTTTTTGCCTTGCTAGAGGAAGTAGGCATTCAGAAAAGAAATGTGGTAAAATTGTATTAAATGCGTAGATTTGTGAGTAATCCCGAGTACCTGTTAGGTACCAAACACTGTTCTGGGAGATAGGGGTCAGCATTGAACAAGAGCAGCAGAACCCTGCCCTGGATCCTACTGGAGAAGACAGGGTGGTATGCTGTTCAGTGATAAGTGCTGAGAAGAAAAACAAAGCTGAAAGGAGGAAGGTGGAGCACTGGGCGGAAGGGTTGTAGTTTTAAGGTAGAATGACCTAGAAGGGCCTCATTAAGAAGACAGTGCTTGAATAAGGACCTGAGGAAGGTGAGATTACCTTTTAAGGATCTAAGGGAATAGGAACTCAAGCAGTTATATATAAAGATGTTAAGTATGACTATTGTTTTTTTTTTTTGAGTTGGAGTCTCACTCTGTCGCCCAGACTGGAGTGCAGTGGCCGCTCCCGGCCACCGCAGCCTTGACCTGCTGGGCTCTGGCAATCCTTCCGCCTCAGCCTTCCAAGGAGCTGGAACTACAGGCGCGTGCTACCATGCCTGGCTGATTTTTTGATTTATTATAGAGATGAGGTCTCACTGCCCAGGTGGGTCTCGAACCCGCGGGCTCAGGCAATCCACTCACCTCAGCCTCCCAAAGGCGTGGGATTACAGGCTGAGCCACCAAGCCCGGCCAAGTATGACTTTTAATAGTGAAAACTGGAAAAAAAATACAAGTATTCCATATAAGGAATATTATATAGTCGTTTAAAATGACAGCTTCGCTGGGCTCGGTGGCTCAGCCTGTAATCCCGCGCCTTTGGGAGGCTGAGGTGAG